AGATAGATAGATAGATAGTGCCAAGAATCCCAGGGCAACCAAAAACACCAAATAGATAGTGCCAAGAATCCCAGGGCAACCAAAAACACCAATGGATCATTGAATGAATCAACCAAGCATTCTCACTCAAGGCACAAATGACCAGGCTCAACTATCCTATTTTGGGCATATTATATGAAGACCCAGCTCTCTGGATAAGGATCTAATGTTGGCAAAAGTAAGAGGAAAGAGAAAAGGATGACCAGCAACAAGGACTCAGTTATAGTGGAGATGGAAGACCTGAAAGATCAGATTGGGGATAGATCACTATGGAGAAAAATCTATCTATGTGGTCACAACTTGATGGCACATAATGGATCAATCAGAGAGAACAAATATAAATGGAAAGGGCTCAGAAAGCTATTAAAATTTAAAGAGATGCCACTTCCCCTTTAACTGACTTTGGAAGATTCAATTTTAATTGTCTCTATTTCTTTATGCATTTCATGACCATGAATGGGCTGATTAAAGTGACATGAGATCACACTGAGAAGCCTTGAATTTTTCATTCCTGAGAAACAGAGATTCTCCAATACCCAATACAAAATGGAAGTGCTAGTGCCAAGCCAGTGATAGGCAGTTAGGTTTTGCATGACATTTCTCCCATGTAACATTTTCCCCTTATTTTACTCATTTCTTTTTCTTTTATTCAAATAAACATTCTCAATAAAAGTTATAAAAACAAACCTCTTTATTCCTCTTTTCTTAATTATTAGCTATTACATCCAATTTTGCTCCTTATAAACTTGATAAACATTCTTTCAGCTTCTTCATTGAAGTCATTGATACAGATGTTGAAGAGCTGATTCCCAGAGCTGATCCTTATGACATTCCACTCCACCTCTTCTAAATTTGATAAGGAGTGATTGCTGAATATTGGAATATGTTTTTTTTATCAACTATCACCCCCCCTACAGTTAGCCAAATTGCTAATCAGAATATCTTTTCATGAAGTAGTATAGAGCCCTGGTTTGATGGTATCTGATCTTCACTGTGATAAAAAAATAAAAGTAAAAACAAAATATATAATTACACATAAATAAATTGAGCCTGAAAGAACTTTGGCTTTTTTAAGAATCACAGTAACTTTAATAGATCAATTTCTTAAAGGGCCTTTATATTTTTTTCTAGTTAATGCAGAAACAAAAAAAATACTCGCTATTTCAGTAAATATCAAGGTCAAAAACACTTTCAGAATCATTATCAATATTTTCACAGCCATATTAATTTTACTACTCCCGTTTGTGTTAAATATCACTAAGATAATACCTAACATAACACATCTACCAAGTGTTTTTATAAAGCATACATTTTCTTTTTGTTTTGGTTATGCATTAAGATATCTTTATTTCATGATTTTATGTATCAAATATAAATTGCAGGTGGGTTCCCTTCTCAACAACAACCCTCTTGATATAGAAACATTTTTTTTATTATACAGTGATTATCATTGTTGATGCTTACAACAACAAAAATAGGCACTTTTTATCAGTCATTCTCTAAAATATCATTTTTATTCTGCTTTTCATTTCATACCATGAATTATATTAAATTAAATTAAGCTCTATTTTAAACAAAAATTAAATAATGCCCTAATCCAGAATTACGTTGTTTGCTTTTACAACTGTAAGTCATAAGCAATTAATTTTCCTTCGCAAGTTAATTCACTTACCATTCCCAGTAGCATCATATGTTGACACAGGGTTAAAGATAGTTTAGTCTTTTTGTTCAGTAAGTTGGACTCAACTTTGGAAGATTTCAAGTTAAAGTAAATTTTGAATTTTCTTAACAACCTACATACAAGGTTATTTAAGATGAATGCTGACCTTCTTACTGTCATCTAGATGATTATTCTAAATTTGTATTCAAGATTTACAAAAATATAATGCTTGTGGGCAATCAGCTATTCTCTTTCTGTTTAATTTTACATTTCTTCCAATGTTTAGTTCAACAAAGGTTGACCACTATATAGTTAAACAGGGGGATTCCCTCAAATCCACATGAGGATTCTTCAGCAATGTAGTAAAACCTAAAATATTTAGTTTGATTGTATGAGATTAGGGTAAACAAGTATAATAACAGATTCTTTAATTGTTTGGAACCAATTATTCTTTTCTCCTGTTATCAAAGGAGGATGGTAGACTAAACTGAGGCTATAATTTTCAATGTTAACAGAGTAGGAGAAAAACCCAACTCAAAGATGACTTTAGTTTTCATTAAAAAAGGAAACCTTTGAATCAAGCTCATCATGTTTCAACCTTTTAAAATATATTCATGTCCCTTTGATAGAATTCAACAGATTAATTCCTATATATTGACAAGTATTTGTGGGAAAGTGCCTTCTAAATAAATGAATCTCAATAAGTAGAACAATATTCAATAGTAGATATATTTTAATAAAAGCATTTTTGTTGGTTAGACTGCAACAATGCTTTCATCAATTCTCCTATTTACTAATCTAGATGCATCATAGTGTTTACTTAAGGACACAGTTCACTAAAGTAGAGTTATGGAGGTGACATAAGATTTAAGAGGCTTAAATAATTTTGAATTCCTAAGCATCCAGACAGAGGCAAAAGACAAAATTGAAGCTTTTGCATTTGTAATGTTTTATGTCAATTAACCATGATTTATTGTATGAGAATAAGGGCTACAGGTTTGTGTTTAAGACACATGTAGACTAGATTGATCAGTATGAAAAGAAATGAGGTTAACTATCATAGAGAGGACACAGTTCAGAAAAGTAGAGTTGTGGAGGTGACATAAGACTTAAGTGGTAATATGAGCAAATATTTGATGGTCCAACTTTCTGTTAAGATAAAATCACATTTTTCAACAGTTTCTCCACTAGATATTAATGGATGATAACTTGGTTATGACAAAATAACTTATTTTGCTGTATCCATTTAAAAGTATATTGAAAATGCTGATTATATAGTTTCATTTAAATTTGACTTGCCCTGGATATTAGAAAAAGTATTGGTTGTTTATTTCAATTATTCAGATTATGATGTACACCTTTAAGCTAAAATGATATGCATTACAAGAGTAACAACTGAAATGGAATAATGTGCTATATTATTTGTGCCACACTAATTTTTTATAACAACATATAAGTCTTAGAATACCACTTAGCAAGACATGGGTTTAGAAGTACTAGATTTGAGGGATTTGATGTGGCTTTATCCAAGCAGTCATGTTTCCTTAATTGTGCATTTTAAATGTTGTAAGCTGCCCAGAATCTTTTTGGAGTTGGATGGCCTCAAAAATTCAATAAATTAAATTAAACTAATTATAGCTTAAGGCTTAAGGCTCATTTTAGATATCATGTGTGATAAATTTCCTCACTGATAAGGCTTTTTAGAACCAATTTAAAACTTTTCAGAATTGAGACTACCTCCAGCCTCAGCCTGAACCCTTGAGAAAACAATTCATATATAAGGACTTTTTTTCCTTTACCCACTGCCCAGCTTTCTAAATCTTTTTCATTTCTTTTACCTCTGCTACTTGTTTAGGAAAGTCTTCGTTATTGAAACATCTGTCTCTTATATTCCTTTATTCCATCTGAATCTGTCTCCAGTATAATTTATATTGCATTCTCTGCAATTTGGTCTCACCAGCTGTTCTTAATGTTCTGCCATGGTGTTATCTCCATAATAAGGTAATTATTTTTAGATGATGTAATTCTAGCAACAGGCTTTCTCTCTGTGCATAACATCTCGTACAATCGTAGATAATGTGGGCACCACTTTTCCTACAGACACCTCCTTTTGTGCCTACCAGTCTCTGTATCTCATTTAACTTTAATTTGTTTTTAAATTATTTAAATTATTTTTTAAATTACAAACTAATAAAAAGTTTTTATGCCAGAAAATGAAATGCCAGCCAAAGTAATAACCAAATGCTTAAAGAATTCACAGCTGATGGTGAAGAAGTGATGGTACTAGTTTGTGTTTTTTAGAATCAAGAATAAATAAAAATGTGCTGGAAAAGTAAACTAAAGATTAATAGAGAGGAAGGCAATGACAGAATTTTGCAGCACCATGAAGGGTAAGAATACTTTTATAACAAGAAAGAACAGCAGTAGAAATGTACAACTATACTAACTAAAGACTGAAAAAACAGCAAGATAAAGCATATAGATTTCTTCAGATTACAGATCTAGAGACCCTTACAAAAGTACCAGAAGAATTATTCAATGAATCCTGGGTAAAATAAAGATTGCCTATTCTCTTTAAGGCAGGGGTGTCAAACTGCCGGCCCATGGGCCGGACGCGTCATCCCAAAACCACGCCCACCCCATTGCCAGCAATGGAGAAAAAGCTCCGATATGTCGCGCGACGTCACGTAACGTCGCGGGTTTGACATGCCTGCTTTAAGGCAAGGATGGGCAAGCAGAAACCTCTGTCCTTTGGCCGTGTGGTTTAAGCAGATTATTGCCTTAAAAAGGATGCCATCCATAGCAAGAGTAAGGAAAGTAGAAGACAGTAGAGAGGCACCTTTGGTCATGCCTGGTGATGACCTGTGTCAAAGCTGTGATGAGGATGGTGCATGCATCTTGATGTTTCTTGGTCTCTCAGTGGCTTTCAATGCCATTGATCATGGTATCCTGTTGGATCAGCTTTGGGGATTTGAATGAAAGCACTGGTTTGATGTAGCTTTCTTCCTTTCCACAGTGACTGAATTTAGTCATTGTTAGCAGTGTAAGAGATTGCATCCATGACTCCACACTTGTGGGATGCCACTGGAGGTCAACTCTTTCTGCACTGTAATTTAACATCTAACATCATTACCATGAAACCACTGGTGAGATCATCTGACAGTTTATAATCAGGTGTCATCAATATGCTTATGATACCCAAATATACACTATATCTTCACCCCGGCCTGATGAAATCCTGGCCCAGTGTTTGAGGCTATGCAGGTTTGAATGGAGAGAAACAAAGCTGCTTCCAAAAATAGTCATGCTTTCTAGGATTTATCAAATGTTTTAGCCTTCTTTGCCTAGAGCAGGGGTAGAGAACCTTGGCTCTTTTATGACTTATGGACTTCAACTCCAGAATTCCTGAATCAGCATGGCTGGTTCAGGAATTCTGGGTATTGAAGTCCACAAGTCATAAAAGAGCCAAGATTCCCTACCCTTGGCCTAGAGCAGACATGTCAAACACAAGGCCCGAGGGCCGGATGCGGCCCGCGAAGTGGTTTCATGTGGCCCATGAAGCCATCCTGGAAACAGTGAGGGAACGGCCCCCGGTGCCTTGGCCCTGGCCCGGGCCGGCCGGGAGCCAATGTACAATTTTGTGATGGCCATCTATGCTGAAACTCATTCAGTCTTAGCTCCACAAGGCTGTCTAGAAACAGCGAGGAACCAACCCCTGCTGCATCGGCCCCACCCCCTGGGTGCATGTTGGGGAGGTGTCACCCTTTGTGAGGAATGAAGAAATGGACCATGCCTTGGTGCTTGCCCCGGTCCCACTCCCTTCTGCCAGAGACCCTCAGATCTGTCCCACTCCTGCCCAGGCCCCCCACAGGCACCCTTGATGCGAATGATGTAGAGCTGGCCATGCCCACCCAGTAGGCCACACTCACTCCATCCACGCCCACCCAGTAGGCCGCACCCATCCTGGCCACACCCATCCGGCCCCCCGAGGGCAACCACAATGCTGATGCGGCCCTCAGTGAAATTGAGTTTGACACCCCTAGCATAGAGGATACTTCTTACATATTTCTGTCAAGGTTATCTCTCGTACTGCCTATACCTTCAGACAGACACTTATCCCTTGGATTAGGGTGATGTTCCAGACAGCCACCTCACCATTGGATTAGGGTAATGCTCCATCCATGGTATTG